GCCTCTACTTGACTAGCTCGTTAATCAAAGATGGTTATGCTTCCTAACCATGAACAAAGTGTTGTTATTTGATTAACGAGGTCACATCATTAGTTGAATGATCTGATTGACATGACCCATTCCATTAGCTTAGCACCCGATCGTTTAGTATGTTGCTATTGCTTTCTTCATGACTTATACATGTTCCTATAACTATGAGATTATGCAACTCCCGTTTACCGGAGGAACACTTTGGGTACTACCAAACCTCACAACGTAACTGGGTGATTATAAAGGAGTACTACAGGTGTCTCCAAAGGTACATGTTGGGTTGGCGTATTTCGAGATTAGGTTTTGTCACTCCAATTGTCGGAGAGGTATCTCTGGGCCCTCTCGGTAATGCACATCACATAAGCCTTGCAAGCATTACAACTAATATGTTAGTTGTGAGATGATGTATTACAGAACGAGTAAATAGACTTGCCGGTAACGAGATTGAACTAGGTATTGGATACCGACGATCGAATCTCGGGCAAGTAACATACCGATGACAAAGGGAACAACGATGTTGTTATGCGGTCTGACCGATAAAGATCTTCGTAGAATATGTAGGAGCCAATATGGGCATCCAGGTCCCGCTATTGGTTATTGACCGGAGACGTGTCTCGGTCATGTCTACATTGTTCTCGAACCCGTAGGGTCCGCACGCTTAAGGTTACGATGACAGTTATATTATGAGTTTATGCATTTTGATGTACCGAAGGTTGTTCAGAGTCCCGGATGTGATCACGGACATGACGAGGAGTCTCGAAATGGTCGAGACGTAAAGATTGATATATTGGAAGCCTATGTTTGGATATCGGAAGTGTTCCGGGTGAATCGGGATTTTGCCGGAGTACCGGGAAGGTTACTGGAACCCTCGGGAGCTAAATGGGCCATGTTGGGCCTTAGTGGAAAAGAGAAGAGGCAGCCCTACATGGGCTGCGCGCCTCCCCCTTCCCCTAGTCCTATTAGGACTAGGAGTGGTGGCCGGCCCCCTCTCTCTCTTTTCCCCCTCCGCGAATCCTATTCCAACTAGGATTGGGGGGGGGGGGGATCCTACTCCCAGAGGGAGTAGGACTCTCCTGGCGCGCCCTCCCTTGGCCGGCCAGCCTCCCCCCTCTGGTCCTTTATATACAGAGGCAGGGCACCCCAAAGGACACACAAGTTGATCCACGTGATCTATTCCTTAGCCGTGTGCGGCGCCCCCAGCCACCATAGTCCTCGATATTACTGTAGCGGAGTTTAGGCGAAGCCCTGCTGTTGTAGTACATCAAGATCGTCACCACGCCGTCGTGCTGACGGAACTCTTCCCCGACACTTTGCTGGATCGGAGTCCGGGGATCGTCATCGAGCTGAACGTGTGCTCGAACTCGGAGGTGCCGTAGTTTCGGTACTTGATCGGTTGGATCGTGAAGACGTACGACTACTTCCTCTACGTTGCGTCAACGCTTCCGCAGTCGGTCTGCGTGGGTACGTAGACAACACTCTCCCCTCTCGTTGCTATGCATCACATGATCTTGCGTGTGCGTAGGAATTTTTTTTGAAATTACTACGAAACCCAACATGAATGTCATATTATGTAGGTGAAATATAGCACTAGCCTCATATTTCATGAATAAATGAAGTGTCATAGGTGGTGGTTCACATGCTAACATGTATTTACTCTAGGGATAACTAACTAGTTTCATCAATTTTATAAGTAAAAAGAGCACAACAACAAGTAAAGGTAATGTAATGCAGGTTGTGTAAATCCTGCCTTTTGGAAAGAAGGAAGCCATGGTTGTGATTTTTTTTCATATGTTGATCAAACATTATGGAACATAGGTCTACACAGCTATACTTCTACTTTCCATAAAAAGGAAAGAGATCATTTTTTATTTTTTTCTATAAAAAATGTTCTCCGACAATATTCTTTTTCACAAAAGTTTAAAAGCTACCTTATTTGCCCTAGACCCGCTTAAGAACAACGTCAGTGGAGATAGAGAAATAAATGAAGCGGTGGGAGACCACTATAAGATGCCTCCTCACCTTCGGACAAGACCACACCCCTAAATCTGAATGGGGAATGGATCTATCTCCTCCTTCAACATATTTTGAGGTAGGTACTCCCATCTCTCATGTTTTCTTCGAAATCTTCCTCTCCATCCTTCTCTATGTAACCTTGCACTATCTCCCATCTCTCATAGGTAGAGGTAGGGGAACTCAAGACCTAGGGTTCTCTCCAAGTAATTTTAATATTTTTTCTGATTAGTTTTCTTTTACTTGAAATATGTGATTCATATAACAAAATCTGGTGTATTTGGTGTATGGTGTTTTGATCTTTTGGGATTGATAATTGTACTTTTTTAGAGAGGGGAAGGGTGCGTGTAGGGAATGAACTCAAAATTGAGTGCCTTGAACTCTCTCTCTGTCTCTCTCCATGTCAACATAGGGTTGAACTTGAAATGCCTCGGCCTCCTCCCAACTTGGACACAAATCACCTTCCAAAAAGCCTACCATGTCATCTTCCTTCCATGGCCCAATTCTCCATATTCTACTACTTGTGCACATGGGCCGTGCAGAAGCTTTGAATCTCACCCTCTCCACCCATACTCTTCTCCTATCAATTGTCATCACGTGTTAGCATGCCCCCCCATTTTCCAACAAAAATCAACAATCGTGGATGTAGCGAAGCTCTGTTGAGCAGGGGTTGCAACATCTGTCGTGTATGGTAAGGTTGGTTGCTCGGGCCTATTTTCTTCCACGAGGATACGTTGTTTGATCCGATCGTTCATGCCATTTTTATTGCTTCTTTTGCAAAACATTTTGTTTATCAATTTGTGGATTGCGATAATAAATACCTCCTTCACTTTATTAGGCCCTGGAGAAATACTGTGACCACTTGAGGACACGATCCTCAAGCTAGAGAGTGCTTTGGGCTCATGTAGATTGAGCCGACGTGATAGAGAGGAGATATAGTGCTGACGGGGATAAAGATAAAAGTATTGTCGAAGTCAATCGAATAGAGAGATGGAAGGGTCGCTTAGGTATTTTCGTGAATTCTAGTGTACTCCAACCCCATGTTTGTAATTTGAAATAGAACAATGTGTTTGTTCACTTGTTGGGGCATTTTTTTTAAAGGAAAACGTTTTGCGACAACGGGCCGGCGGAAGCTTCGCCTGATCGCGTTGCTCGCTCACACGCGCGCACGCTATGCCCTCCAATGGGAGAGCGCCACATGTTGTAGGGACCCACGCACATCACTTCTTCCCTACGTTTTCCCTTTCCCCTCTCGCCAAACTCCTATCCCCAGATGCGTTTCCACCATGTCCGCGGTGCTCCTCCTCTCTTTCGATGCTCGCCACCATGTCCACGCGCTCTCCGCCTCTCCTCCTCCTTCTCTCTCTCTCCGAGGACTACACTCCGTGGCGAAGCCAAACACCATCATCTACGCAACATGATGCTCTGCAATTCCACCTCCGCCATGGCTCACATGCGAGCTGCCGCCAGGCCTATTGGCCACACGCTAAGTAGGCGAGGGCATGGTGTTGCAAGAGCTGCGACCAACGACGACGACGCAGATGTGTTTTCGCACGATGATGAGCTGCGACGGTCACCGCGGCAAGCTGGAGAACCGTGCTCGCGTTTGCTGCAACCGTTGACACAAAAAGCTTCAACAGTATACGAGAAAAGTTTCAATTGGCAATAGAGGAAGCTTCAACTGGGCACTGCATAGTGGAAAAAGCTACAATAAAAGTTTCAACCGGCGGCCAACGTTTTTAAAAGCTTCAGGGTGAGCCGACGACGCACATGATGACTTTTCCGACGGGAGACGGCGAGCGTGGACGGCGGTGGTGGGTGCCCAAGGGCGAGGTGGAGGTGGCCAACCGGCCATGGTGAGGGAGAGGAGGAACTGAGAGGAGGTGTGGATCATCGGAAGATGACAGAGGAGATGGCCGAATTTTGGCGGTGGTTTCGCGACGG